ATAAAACCTTTAAAAAAATTTTTGTATTTAATGAATGGTTGTGATGGAGGCAGGCTGGGGCCAGGGACCCGGGGGGGGTGGGTCCCACAAGGCCAGCCAAGAGGGTCCTGGGCTATGTGCAGGGATGAAATCAAATGTGAGCCAGGAGGGAGTGAGAGCAGAGTATATTAAGGATAGGGAAGGAGTGCAGATACGGATAGAGCATCTGGGAGCCTCAGAACAGACAAGGAAAGAGAGTCTCTTTTTGGTTCGGGGTCTGGAGTTTTTACTGAGGATTGTGGTCTGGTGTATGTGTCTGCTCAGGCATCCAAGAACTGGTCGGGAAAAGGACAAGGTCCAGATGTCCTCCCTAAGTCACTTATCCCTCGGGGAGCTAGAGAGTCTTGACATTGAGATGACTAGAGCCAGTGGTCTGGGATTCGATTTGTCTGGTCATTCTCACCCAGTCCTTTCTTAGATGTTATCTGTGGTGCTGAAGACTGAAGAAATCATTAACTCCTTGTCCCTTACCGGGAGAACATGCCTTATTTGTACCATGAGGCACATGTATGGTGGGTGTGCAGGTCCCAGCAAGAACAGAAGTGGGAAAAGGAGCAGAAAGCCCATTTCAGTGGAGTGTCCAGCTTCCCTGTCTCAGCTGACGCACACAGGAGGACACACAACTTCAGATGTCTAGTTAAGGTGACCCGGCTATTCCATTTCTAGCTTGAGATATCAGAAAGCATCCAAAGATCTGACCACCGCAGCACTTTGTGCAATAGTGAAACCTGAAATGCATCACATGTCCATCAATTGGGGAGTAGAAAAAATTGATGGACATTCGTGGATATTCATACAGTGGGCTCCTATGAGACATGGAAATCAGTGCACTAGATCTACATATATGAACATGAGTGATTCTCAAAAATATAAGGTTGAGTAAACAAATGTATAGGATGTTATTTATACAATTTTAAAACACTGAAAAAAGAATTCCATTTAATATCTACGTGATGTGGGAAACAAAGGCAGAAGAAAAGTTACTAAATTTCCTTACTGTTTACAGCCTGTTGACAAGTCTTTGAAACAGGCAGAGTGGCATTGCTCTAGGGACTCAGCTGCCTCGATGTTAATACTTTGCCAAGAGCAAATGGCAATTTTAGCCCGGCCCTCCAGGATCCTGTAAGTCTACTTTAATATATAAAAATTCCTTTTGGAAACCTCCTTTATCTCTACCCCCCAAGATACATGTTGGCAATCATCCCCCAAGCACATGGCCCACTGATATACATCTGAAGGGTCTCATGACTCAGGCTTTATTACACGGTAATAAATGACCTTTCCTCAACAAGAGCTAGCCCTCTCAAGGTCCTGGAAACCGTGCTTCCAAAATTCCTTAAAGGCTTACGCTATCCCGAACCCCTTCCCAACTTGAAAGTATAAAATGGGTCACTCCTTGTGACCTCAGTGCAGCCCTTTCTGCCCATGGGTCCTGTCCCCATGCTTTACTATTTTTTTTAAGGCTTTATTTATTTGACACAGAGAGAGATTACAAGTAGGCAGAGAGAGAAAGGGGGAAGCAGGCTCCCCGCTGAGCAGAGAGCCCAACGCAGGGCTTCATCCCAGGACCCTGAGATCATGACCTGAGCCGAAGGCAGAAGCTTAACCCACTGAGCCACCCAGGTGCCCGACTGTCCCTATGCTTTAATAAAACCACCTTTTGCACCAAAGACATTCCAAAATTCTTTCTTGGCCATTGGCTTTGAACCCTAACATCTCTCCTACATCATATGGATAAAGGTATGCACTGTAAAGTATAAAAATATGGGTGGGCAGGATATACAGTAACCTTGGGACAGTGGTTACCTTCATGGAAGGCGGAAAATGCAATGGAAAGGATTCCCAACATATCTTTAACATTTTTTTTCTTTTAAAAGAGGATTTTAAAATAAATATGACAAAAAGAAAATTTGTTCAATCTACCTATTGTCATAATAGTCTTTACATTTTTTCTTACACAAATAAGTATTTGTCATATTATTCTCTGCTTTTATATGTTTTTTTTTAAGATTTTATTTATTTATTTGACAGAGATCACAAGTAGGCAGAGAGAGAGAGAGAGAGAGAAAGAGGAGGAAGCAGTCTCCCTGCTGAGTAGAGAGCCCGATGCGGGGCTCGATCCCGGAACCCTGATATATGTGGTTTTGTTTTTGTTTTTTTAATTTTTTTTAAGGATCTTATTTATTTATTTGACAGAGAGAGATCACAAGTGGACAAAGAGGCAAGCAAAGAGAGAGGAGGAAGCAGGCTCCCTGCTGATCAGAGAGCCCAGTGCCGGGCTCGATCCCAGGACCCTGGGATCATGACCTGAGCCGAAGGCAGAGGCTTTAACCCACTGAGCCACCCAGGTGCCCCTTGTTTTATATATATATATATATATATATATATGTGTGTGTGTGTGTGTGTTTTAAAGACTGGAATTTTTTAAATGAATAAGCAATTTTTAGTTGCAAAAAATAAGTTTTTGTAATAAAACCTGGTGGGCTTGGAAGCAGCAGCTGCTGCCTAAAAAGGCATAATTTGCAGCCAGCAATGAACTTCCCTCTTTGCTAGAGTTGCTTGCTTGATAGTCTTTTATTGGAAAGGTGTGGTTTAGGGTCAAAGGAGAAAAGGAAATCTGCCCTTAAGAGGAAATGTGTGATTGTGCTCTTACCATTCAGCTCAGCCTGGAAGGCAGGTGGGGCAAAGGTACTTGAAGTCAGTAGGCAGGCACAGAAGTCACCTGCACGGTGTTTGTGTCCCTGGTACGCCAAAACACACCTGTCATACCTTTTGAACAAAATTTGCTAACACTCAAAATTGCAGAACTTGGAAAGAATCAGTCTTTAAAATTGTATTTTCCCTAACTTATGATATATATAGATATAGATATATAGATATAGATCATATATAGATATATAACAAAATATTTACACAATACATACTCTTGTAAACTTCCCCGGCCTCAACTTAAAATTTGGCTATGGCCTGCCTTCTTTGCATGTCAACAAATTGAATGGATAGTTAAGAATTTTTAATGGCCACAGCATATGCGACTGTTCGAAGCTGCTATAATTTACTTAACCAATCTTTTATTGTGGGACAGAGTATTATGTTCAGGTTTTTCCAGGCATAAACAACAATAAATATCCTCGCACATACATATTCGCACATTTGACTCTGAAGACGCATTTGCAAAATGTGGGATTCCTGGACCAAAGCTAATGCTTTTCAATTTTGATCCCCATTTCCAAATTGGCCTTCTAGAAAGCGTTTTGTTTAGTTGGTTGTTTTTTTTTTTTTTTTAAGATTTTATTTATTTATTTGACAGTCAGAGATTACAAGTAGACAGAGAAGCAGGCAGAGAGAGAGAGAGAGAGGAGGAAGCAGGCTCCCTGCCGAGCAAAGAGCCCGATGCGGGGCTCGATCCCAGGAGGCTGGGATTGTGACCTGAGCCGAAGGCAGAGGCCCCAACCCACTGAGCCACCCAGGCGCCCCAGTTGGTTGGTTTTAAATCAGATTGCACTCCCTCCGGTAGGGTAAGGGAAAGCTGTTTAACGCACAATCGAGGCATCATAAACTCTTGCTGAACTTGAGCGATCGCCTCCTTGGGAAACTGCCTGCGAGGTTTTCCGGGCGCCTTTAAAGGCAGGAAACGGTCGCGGGGAAACCCGAGGACCGCCCAGGTGGGGGTAGCGCCCTCCGGCTCTCCCCGCGGGCACAGAGCTGGAAAAGCCAAGTTTCCCAGGAGGATCCCCGTCCGGCCCCAGGGGGTGCAGGGCTGAGCCGGCCGCGCTCCCGCTCCGGGGCGGGCCGCACGCGGGGGCGGGGCTCCTCCTGGGCCGGCGGCGGGGCGGGGCAGCTCGGCCGGCCGCCCCGTGTCCCCCTCCCGGCCCGCCCTCCGGCCGCGTCCCCGCCGGCCCTGCCGACGTGGCGGGGCGGGACCCGGCGGGCGCTCCCGCGCGCACTCGGCCGCCTGAGCGGTAAGAGCCCCGGGCACCCTCTCCGCATCCCCTTCCCCCGGCGGGCGGGGGAGTGCGGGGACCGCCGCAGCGGGGTGGTGGGGAGACCCTGCCGTCGCTGCTCTTCCTGGCCCCCGAATCGTGCCCCTTGCGTTAATGGGAAGCCATCGGCAGGGACTTGGCACCGGGCGGGGGACCCGGGAGGACCGGACTTTGGGGTGAAGGTCCGGGGAGGCGCGGGCGGCGCGGCCGAGGGCCCTGCGTGGGTGCGGGCGTGTGAGTGTGTGTGTGTGAGTGTGTGTCGCTCTGGGTCCACGCTCATGCACACACCCACACGCCCGCGCTCGGGGTCTGCCCCCTCGGCCGGCGTGAACCTCCGCGGAGCCTGACCCGTGCTCTCCAACTATCCGGTCCCGACACCGAGCAAAGCTGAGAAAGTTTCCCCAGGGTCCCGGGTCCGAGTCAGAGGCAGGCTGCAGGGCTCCCGCCACCGGGGGTCACAGCGGGAGCAGGTCCCCATAAGGCAAAGGCTTCCATCGTGGGGTATGCTTGCTTTTGGCCTCGGAAAGCCGAGCTCTGGCCTTGGAAAACCGAGCTCTGGCCTTGACCTCCCACCCAACTTCATCATCTCTCCTGCAGCCGCGCTTGCATTTCCATCCCAGCCAACACCCTAAGCTGGTACCCCCGGCCGAGCCTAACCCAGGCTCCCCAGGCCCCACCCGCTCGCCCACTCTCTCCTCTTCCACGCTGGAATCTGGTGACTATTTCCAGCCATCTCCGTCCAGGCGCCTGAACTTGACTGCTCTTTCCCGGAGTAAGACGTTATCTCTGTCTGGGCTTAGGGCTGTATATCTGTGTCCTGCTCATCCCATCAGTTCCCATCCTAAACTTCAGGGGTACAAACAGGTGGCTTCTCAAATCAGTGTCTCTTGAACCCCAACCCGAGGTAACCGAGGAGTCAGCCTCTCTCCTCAGAGGCCTCTTTTCTTTTCTTTTCTCCTAGTGCCCCTTTCCAACCTCACCCATATTCATGCCCTGCTCCCTCCTTTCCTCCATCAGAGCCTGAGCTCAGGAAAGACTCTGATAAGCCCTTACATTGTAAGCTTTAAGCAAAGGAATGAAACTTCCAGTGTAGTATTTGAAACACAAGGGAGTCAGTGCAGAAGGAGTTTGAGGGTGAGAGGGGGCCTTCTAGAATACCAAGGATTCAGCCCATACAAGAAGCCATTTATTTGTAAGTCTGGCTTATGTCAAATATTCTCTCTCTTGAATCAATATCAAACAATATATTTCAGTTATGTAAACATCTGAGGGTCAGAACCCAAGCTCAGTGCTCGTTGGTCACAGTGCTGGAGGAGGAGGAAATGACACACAGACAGATCCGCCTTACAAATGCCATAGAAGTCCGTGCAGAGTGTCACACAGAGCATGGAGGTTCGGGAAGCAATTAATTCTTGGGAAAAGAGTGGGGGAAATTAGGGAAAATTTTAGAGTAAAAAGTAACAGTAGACATGGAGAGACGAGTAGAAGGTTGCCAGGCAGCTGAAGGCAGGGCAGCCCAGACAGGGGAACCAGACAGGCAAAGGCGAGGTAGGGAGTGGTTACAAGCTGTGAGCATTAATGGAAAGTCTGGTGAGGCCAGAGTGGAAGGTGTCCTAAGAGCTGGAGGAGGTGGATAAAGAGATCAGGGCCATAGATGTCATGCAAAGGTGTTTAAACCTAATTTTTTTTCCTTAAAGATTTTATCTATTTTTTCAGAGAGAGAGAGCGCACAAGCAAGGGGAGTGGCAGGGAGAGGGAGAAGCAGGCTCCCTGCTGAGCGAGGAGCCTCATGTGGGACTCCATCCCAGGACCCCGGGATCATGACCTGAGCTGAAGGCAGACGCTTAACCAACTGAGCCACCCAGGCTCCCCAAACCTAATGGTTTTTAAACAGGGGAGCAAATAGGTCCTATCTGGGTTTCAGAAAAATACACAGGAGGAAACAGCCTGGGGCTTCATAAGGGGGGATCTCTCACCCAGAATTTTTGTTCCTAGTCCTCACTGACAAGTCCTTTTTAAAATTGGGGGCAGTGATTTTCCCTAGGGTACTGTGTTACCAAATTCTTATTTTGCCAAAAGAGGCTATTTAAAAAGAAATCATTCTACGGCACTACTATTTCATAAAGTGAACGATTTTAATACCAAGAAAAGCATAAAGGCTAACCTTGTAAGATGAAGGCAGTCCTTTAATAAATTTAGACTGATGAAAAACTTGCGATCTTGTCCTCATTTTTCTCTATCATCATGGACTGGTCCCAGTCCTGCAGTCTTTGGGGTTTGGAAACCCAGTATCCAGAGCATTTTGTCCCCTCTTACTCCACAGAGGAGGAAGGGAGGAAGCCCAACAGTAATAAGTTGTGCACACACACAGAGATGGTGGAACCAGAACATTCTCTCTCTTCCTCAGAGAACTCCCCTACCCCCGACCCCCCATGCCACCTGCCCCCCATTCTTTCATACTGCCTCCTGGTGGGGCCACACATTCATCCCAGTTATCTAGACATCATTCCTGGTGCAGGGCATTTGCACATACGCTTATCTCACCATGCCTGAGTATTCCTAGCAAAGCCACTTTCAAGGTTCTCCTCTGCATAAGGTCAGTCTCATTCCGGTTCAAGGTTCTCCTTTGCAGGAGGTCAGTCTCATTCCAGCACATCTTTCCCTTATTTGGTGTGCTGTTTTGTATCCTCTCTTAACCGTGGCATGTTTGCTTGAAGCAGTTTCCTGGATCTTCATTGACCAGGGATAACGTGAAAACAGATTATTCATTTTCTGAAGGACAGTAGCCATGTCTTCCGTTTTGAACTTATTTTTGGAGCCCATGGTGTTCCTCCTCCAATACCTCGCATAGTTCTGGGAGCATTTTAGGTGATGAATGAATTTACTCATGAAAAACCAACTTATTCCCAGCCCACAAAGGCTCCTTTATATGCTACTCTTCCTCTCCTTGAAGTTTCCCAAAGAAGCCTCCTTGTTTCTGTGGGTTGAGTTTCGCTAGCATCAAGACAGGCTGCGGTGATGAGTGTTCCAAACCCTAAATCGGGAGAGATTTATGTCTTACCGCTTCTGGGGCACCCAGGCTAAGATAGGGACTGTCCCAGGAAATAGCGTGTGTCACAGCTGTAGTCTGAGTGCATTCGGATGGTCACTGTGTCTGAACAGCTGTCTTTAGGATACAACAGTTTCTAATGGCCTCGGATACAAGGGCACAGTCTTCAAAATGGATTACATCTCTCCTGTCCTAACACGCAGAGGAGATGAAGGTCGAACAGAGCTAACGAAGAAGATTTGGGGGTTTGGTTTTGGTTTAGAGAAAACGGAGACCTGCAACTGGTCAAAGTAAACGGAGATTAAAGATACATACAATTAGCAGTTAAAGTAGGGTGAACAGTGTGGTGGTCATTTTTATTATCCCAACTGATGTCAAAATACAGTCTTCGAAATGTATAAGTTGACGGTCAATATTTTTAACAGTATGGGTTCAACATCTTATTTGGGGTATTTCTGAAGGGATGGCTTCCTGTTGATGGTTGAAGGCAGGGCGGTCACAGGGGAAAGAGGTTTTGCTCAGCCATTTTTCTACAGCTGTTTCTACAGCTGAGGTGAACAGACCTAAGTCACATGGACCCTCAGCTTGTTCTTAGAAGCTTGATGAAGCTTGATGAAATCTCCATCCTTTGGGACCTCTGGCATGGACTGCTCTAGAGGCAGGACTCGGCTAACCCAGTCAGGCTTTGGGGTGCTCTCACAATCAAGGCAGAACTAGAAAATGTCTATCTCAAAGAGCGCTAAGCTGCTGAACCCAGAATAATCTTGTGCCCTGGGAACAGAAGGGCAGGTCGCACCTGTGGGTGATTGCTTGCCAGTCCACCTATCTGAAGCATTTCCCATTTCCCTGGTGAAAAATGGTTTCTAATCTCCCTTGTGCTAATTAGCACAGCCTGGGGTAGTCACTAAAGAAGGTGTTAGTGAAGCCCTAGCTAGAGGGAACACCCAGTAACAGATTTTTTTTAATAAAGATTTTATTTATTCATGAGAGACAGAGAGAGAGGCAGAGGGAGAAGTAGGCTCCCCAAGGTACAGGGAGCCCCATGTGGGACTCGATCCCAGGACCTTGGGATCATGACCGGGGCCAAAGGCAGATGTTTAACTGACTGAGCCACCCAGGTGCCCCCAGTGACAGATTTTGAATGCTAACTCAAGACCTCTGGAGAGTATATTCCTGAACAGGGCACCCCTGATGTTAACCAACCATGCCCCGCCCTCCTTACCCCCCACCCCCCCTCATCCCCTTCACCCCCACCTGTAAGTTACACCTACGCTGTGCGTATGTCACACAATAGAGTCGCACAATAGATCCTGAAGTATTTTAGAGCCCATTAGGAACAGCATGGAGACACATTTAGGGCAAAGCGTCCAAAATGTTTTTTCTTTGCCCAGGAATGTTTATTGTAGCTAGGTTTATTCTCACATCCCTGCTTCTAGAAAAGTGAAATAGTTCGGAGTGCCTTAGTCGTCCAGATGAATAATAAGGATTTTCAAATTACAAAGAAATGAAACTATCAGACAGTGCCTCTGACCAGCTGCTGGTGGATACAAGGTGGGAACAAAAGTGATGTGAAGCATCATTTATTCATGCACCCATTCTCCTTATGTCCCCAGGAACCAGATGAGGATAGGATAAAACGGAAAAAGGTTTAGGTCGTGGCACCGGAGCAATGTCCTAGACCACGGGTCAGCAAACATTTTTGTCAAGGGCCGGATCGTAAATATTTTAGGCTTTGCAACTTTGTGGGCTATAAGGTCTTTTTTTATTTTTCCTCCAAGATTTTATTTATTTGGCAGAGAGAGAGAGAGAGAGAGAGAGGGTGTTCAAAACACAAGCAGGGGAGCTGCAGGCAGTGGGAGAGAGGGAGAAGCAGGCTTTCCGCTGAGCAGGGAGCCCAATGTGGGTCTCGATGCCAGGACCCTGGGATCATGACCTGAGCCGAAGGCAGCCTCTTAACCGACTGAGCCCCCCCAGGCGTCTGGCCAGAAGTTCTTTTCAGCTATGCAATTCTACCATTGTAGTGTTAGGGAAGCCATAGTTGGTGTATCAACAGATGAATGTGTCTCTGTCCCAATAGAATCTTATTTACCATACCAGGGCAAGATGTGGCCAGCAGGCTGCCATTTGCCAACTGTCTTAGCCCAGTCCTGACTCAGATTTTCAAGAAGATTCTGTAAGTTTCTAAAAGGACCGCAGCTTCTCAAGTACCCTCACTCAGTTCCGCCTTCCTTCCACGAGCCACGGCAACTCCCTTGTCTGTACGGTGGCCTTGTTTCCTTCTCTCCTGTTTCAGCTAGGCATTGACCATACTCATTGCAGATCACCTCCCGCCTTGACTATCCTCAACTTTATATAGCAGCTAAAGCAAAGTATGCATTTTTTTACTTTCCCACCCGTAGACTTATTTGCGGGAGTGTTATTACTGAATTCAAGCACTTTTGTTTGAAAGGAGACATTCTAAACTTAGTTCATTGGGTGACGAAGGACAAAGGAAAGAGAATATAGAATGTTTGGAACCATTTGCTGTAAGGTAGCTCTTGAGAAGTAAATGGGGTAAAGGCATTTTCTGCTTGCTTTCATTTCAGATTACATTTTTAAGAACTTTAACTCCAATATAATTAACATACGGTGTTCTGTTAATTTCAGGTGTACAATATGGTAATTCTGTGATTCTGTACAACACCTGGTGATCATCACAAGTGCCCTCCTTAATCCCCATCACCTGTTTCCCCCATCTCCCCTCTGATGACCATCAGTTTGTTCTCTATAGTCAAGAGTCTGTTTCTTGGTTTGTCTCTCTCTCTCTTTTTTTCTTTGTCTGTTTTCTTTCCTAAATTCTACCTACAAGTGAAATCATATGGTGTTGTCTTTCTCTGACTTATTTCACTTAGCATTATACTCTAGCTCCTTCCATGTCATTGCAAATGCCAAGATTTCAAGATTTCATTCTTTTTTTCTGGCTGCATTATATATATATATATAATATATTATATTATTAGATATGTATATCTATATGTGTGAGAGATATATATCTATCTCACATCTTTTTCCATTCATCTACTGAGGGACACGCGCGCTGCTTCCAGAGTTTGGCTCTTGTAAATGATGCTGCCATAAACACAGAGGTACACCTACAATCCAGTAATCATACCATTGGGTGTTTGCTCAAGAAATACAAAAACACTAATCCAAATTACATTTTAATTTTAAGTCTCCAAAAATATTAATATAACAATACACATATGTGTTGAGCTTCCCACTATGTTCAAGAAACCACGTTAAGTGCTACATCAGATACGAAAACAAGACAAGGAAGACCCTTGTCTTCATAGTATTTACAATGTACTAGAATAGGAAAACCCTCAAGCAACTCTAACCAAGGTGAGCTAGACACAAAGCATCTGGCAGAAGAAAAATGGTATCCAGTTGGGCAGAACGAACAATGGAGGTGGTGGTTTTTTTCAATGGGTCTTCAGTGTGTGAAACACAACATATTGAACCAACAGCTGTGGGAATGTCACAGTCTCGGTCCAGGTTTCGGAAGGGAACAGTGGGAGGAAGCCTGGTGGGATTGGAGTGCAGAGGTGTTTGGATGCCAGCTAAAGCTGGTGGCCTCATCTCAATGGTGCAAAGGCCTTGAGAATATGGGAATGGGATGGGGAAGGGTGGGGAAGTGAAAGGGAGAGCAACAGGAGAAGGTGAACCCAGTGTTGAAATCATCAACATGAACCATAATGAGAGCCTGAGCTAGAGGGGTGGCCGTGGGGCGAGAGGTAAAAGACAAGACATGAATTCTGAATCAAGGGCCTCTAGGATTTGGCCACTGGTTAAATGTAAGAGAAGACGCTGGTGGCACTGCAGAAACAGTTCTGATATGGTTCAACTTCAAGGTTAGATGGGTTCAAATCTCAAACCTGCCATTTACTGAGCCTCCGTTGTCTCATCTATAAAATGGAGATCCTAATATCTGACTCAGGAGACAATATATGCGAGGAGCTTGCCTTAATAGGCACTCAATAAATGATAGCTTTCGACAGCCCTGAGGTTTTAAGCCTGGGTTATTGGGGAAGTCCAGGCACCGTTAAGTTAAGAGGAAGAACAAGTATTAGCAGTAAGACAACAGGTTTTCATTTGGATGGGATCAAGTGTCCAGCTGGCCATGGGAACTATTTATCCAGAAGTAGAATTTTTAAAATAACAGTGTTATTAACATGTAACATTATAGGTTGTACGTATTGTTTATACTCTTAATATATTGAGATATAATTCACATATGACTGAACTCACTCTTTGATAGTGTATAGTTTCAGTGGTCTATGGAATATTCATACAGTTGTGCAGCCATCACTATCTAATTCTAGAACATTTTCTTCCCACACCATAGAAATCTGTGCCCATTAGAAGTCCTTCCTCATTCCCCTTCCTTCAGTTTCTGGAAACCACTACTTCATATTCCATCCCAATGGAATGAAGTAGATATTGAAACTCACAACAGGAGAGTGGTGTGTGAAACCTTGAGAAAGGAACGGGAACACGAGCAAAGACACTAGCCAGACAACCTTGGGGACAGCTCTGTGAGGGACCAGAGTTACACATGTGTGTGATTCGAAGCCTATACTCCATGTGGCCAGTATGCTAAGTGGCTTCTCACATACCGTGGCTTTAGTGGCAACTTGAGGTTTGACCAGTTGGTAAACACTGAGGTCAACAAAAATATCCACTGATTGGACTGAGACGTGGCATCCGGTGTAGTGAGAACACTGTGTTTTCATGTTAGCCTGAGAAAATTGTCATCTCAAATTAGCCTTCTAGATCTGTGCTATCCAGTAAGGTAGCTGCTAGCTACACATGCCTATGTAAAATGTAAACTTAAATCATTTAACATTAAATAAAATTTAAAATGTAGTTGCTGGGGCAGCCGGGTGGCTTAGTTGGTTAAGCCTCTGGCCATGGATCTCAGCTCAGGTCTTGATTTGAGGGTCGTGAGTTCAAGCCCCGCATTGGGCTCCATGCTGGGTGTAGAACCCATTTTTAAAAAGTTGAGGGGCGCCTGGGTGGCTCAGTGGGTTGAGCCTCTGCCTTTGGCTCAGGTCACGATCTCAGGGTCCTGGGATAGAGTCCTGAATCGGGCTCTCTGCTCAGCAGGGAGTCTGCTTCCCTCTCTCTCTCTCTCTGCCGGCCTCTCTGCCTACTTGTGATCTCTCTGTGTCAAGTAAATAAAATCTTTAAAAAAAAAAATTGGGTTAGGGGGTACCTGGTTGGCTCAGTGAGGTAAGTACCCATCTCTTAATTTTGGCTCAAGTCATGATCTCAAGGGCAGGGTATCAAGGTCATGGTATCAAGCCCCACATCAGGCTCCAGGCTCAGCAGGGAGGCTGTTTGAGATTCTCTCCCTCTCCCTCTGCTCTTAGGCCCACTCTCTCTTTCTCAAATAAATAAATCTTGAAAAAAAAAAAAAAAGGTGCTCAGTTGCACCAGCCACATGTCCCATGTTCAGTGGGCATATGTGGATATTAACTACAACATTGGACAGTGCAGACATAGAACATTGTCATCATTGCAAAAATTTCTGTTGAATGGTGCTGTCCTACAAGATATAATAACTTGCAAGCTTCAAAAAGAGTTTTCAGCTTTGTAGGTACTTTCGTAAGAGTGACCTGCCCTTCTTTCCCTCCCAACTCCTGTGTAAACTGTTGTCCAAATAAAGCTCAGACATTCACCAGCTGGTGTCCAGCAAAACACACTTATGTGTTCGTAGGTCTTTTTCTTGATGTGAATCTCTGACAATGTTGTAAAGCTAAAGGTCAAGTTGTTTTTGATAAGCTCTTGGGTCTTTTCTGTGCTTATTCTCATTATTGCTACAATTATAATTAATAAAGTGATATTAAGTAATTTCACAGATACAGATAATGCTCTTAGTTTCCATAGACATATCCCCCCATACCACATAAGAGATCCATGAAAGTTTAGAGATAGCACTTTAGGGTCGTATTAGTTTCCTACAGCTGCTGTAACAAATTACAACAAACTAGTGGCTTATAACAACACAGATTTCTTCTCTTACAGTTCTGGAGGTCAGCCATCCAAAACCAGCTTCACCAAGCTAAAGTCAAGGCGTTGGTAGGTCTGGTTCCTTCTGGCATCTCTGAGGGGAGAATGGTTTCTCTGACTTTTGCAGCTTCTGGTGGCTACAAATCCCCATATCCCCTGGCTTATGGCCCTTCCTTTGTCTTCATTACTCCAAGCTCTGCTCCTGCCCTCTCGTCACCTTCTCCTCTCTGTAGTCAAATCTCCTTCTGTCTTTCTTTAAGGACACTCATAATTTCATTTAGGACCCACCCACATAACCCAGGATAATTGCCCCATCCCAGAATCCTTAATTCAACCATATATGCAAAATTCTTTTTGCTGCATAAGGGTAACATTCCCAGATTCCAAGGATTAGGATAAAGATATCTTTGGGGACCGTAGTTCAGCCTACCCCAAGGGTACATAAAGTTTCTGATTGGTAGAAGAAATCCTTCTACTACCAGATGTGATTATTTGGGGTTTTGGATTCAAGTTTAACAATTCAGATTAAAGCAGAAAATGTTTGTAATCATGTTGACAGGTATTAAAATGTCTGACGACACCAATGACACCTCAGCCACTGGAGACAAAGCAGAAATTGCCAAGATGCCTGAAGAGAATGAATTTTCACCCAAAGACACAGAAGCGCCCTGTGATTCAGCTGTGATTTCAAACGAGCCGACAGCAGCTGATTCCAGAGGCGATGGGCATGAAAATGCCACTGTCGAGGGTGCAGAGACCACTGACTCTGGGCACCCTGAGTGGCCTCAACACAGCAGTGTCATGGAGCCCCCCCTCAATGGAGAAGTGACTGACGACACGCTTGTTGAATGCACTGACCCTGTCAGCCTTGAGGCAGAGCTTGGATCAGAAATACCCCTGAAAGAACAGATTAATCCGGTAGGTGGGGTCTTTTCTATTCAGTTCACCCCAAGTTCTTCCTGATACCTGCCGTGGGCACAGATCGGGGTATTTTCTATGCTTACGGAGATCGGGGGATTTCAGAATATACTGTGACATCCTGTCTGGTCTTCAAAAGGGTGTCGTGTGGTGAGAAAAGACAGATAGGAGAATAATTGGGCAGTATAATATTTGCATTTTGATAATTGTGGTGATAATAGTAACAGCCACCAAAGACTGGCCACATGCCCTGTAGCCAAGTGCTCCACTGGCCCCTTAGGTAATTCACTCCATGCAACAGTTCTCTGAGGCTCTTTTTTTTTCTTTTTTTAAGATTTTATTTATTTATTTGACAGTGAGAGAGGGAACATAAGCAGGGGGAGTGGCAGAGGGAGAAGCAGGTTTCCCCCTGAGCAGCGAGCCCAATGGGGGACTTGATCCCAGGACCCTGGGATTATGCCCTGAGCCTAAGGCAGACGCTTAATGACTGAGCCACCCAATGACTGAGGTTCTAAGCTGGATATTATTAACCTTCATCTATAGACAAGACAATCCGACTCAGAGGTAGGAAGCAACCTGGGGAGATGTTAAGCTACTTGGTAACAAATGGAAGATGTTGAAATGCTGAACCTAAGGACCCTGAGTTATTAATGAGCCTGATTCCATCCTAAACACGTCAATTTTAAACCATCAGATCACTATCTTATCATTACCCAACACCTTCCAGAAGACCAGAGGCAGAAAGTGTTCATGGCCCCTTCCTTTCCATGCCTGCGCCCATCTTTCTGGGGGATGAAATAGACCAGTGTCTCCCAGCTGGTACCTCTTACAGCATCAGGGTGACCTTTGAGCTGGGTTTTCTTGTCATCTTCATCTTCAGTCACCGGGCTGGCAGGGATGGAGAGGCATTCAGCATGGAAGAAGGAAGCGGGCCACTCCCTTCCGAGTCTGCCTTTCAGAGCGAAGGTAGGAGACAGGGAATCGGGGTTTTTTCCTCAGTCAGTCCCCAGCCCTGCTCCTCTGAAGTGTCCCACTGTGGGTTACCTCCATGAAGGGACTCTACTGCCTGCAGTCAAGGGAGGACACCAAACAGGGAACCAGGGGGCCTGGCTTTCCCCCTCATACCTAACATTAACACTATTAATTTGGGCAAGACATCTAATTTCTCCGTACCTCCGTTTTTCCCTCGATAAAATGAAGAATTTTCACATGAACAGCACAAGGTAGTCTTCTGACTAGTGTTTTGTGATTCTTTTATTCAAAATAAGGCTCCTTGTGCCTCAGTTTCCTCAAGGGGTTTGACTTTTTTTTTTAAGATTTTATTTATTTATTTGACAGAGATCACAAGTAGGCAGAGAGGCAGGCAGAGGGGGAAGCAGGCTCCCCGCTGAGCAGAGAGCCCGATGCAGGGCTCGATCCCAGGACCCTGAGATCATGACCTGAGCCGAAGGCAGAGGCTTTAACCCACTGAGCCACCCAGGTGCCAAAGGGGGTTGACTTCTAGAACCGTTTCCAGAGGAGATGGACTCCCTCAGAGAGGCGGGTGTTTCCCGTGACCAGAGATACTTAAACTAAAGCAAACTTGTGGAGGGATGTCAGGGAAGGGAATCTGAGGACCAGCTGAGAGCTTGAACGAGGTCCGGGAAACATACAGGCACAATTTCATCTTTGAGTTCCAAGGGTTCAGACCCTTCAAAGCCACCCACGGACCCCCTAAGGGATTAAGTACTCCTAGACCAGAGGTTCTCAACTCCAGCTGAACATTTCAACCCCTGGGAAAGCTTTAGAAAATACTGACACTCTAGTAGTCGGTTCCCCAGAGAAACAGAACCAACAGGATATATATTTAAAAATCCTATAGCTACATTCACCCATGTACCTGCCTCTGGAACCTGTTTTTCCTGCACGCTTTCTATTGTGGGAAGCATTGGTTCTCAATTCTTATCCTAAGTGCCACTGTCAATAAATATCTTTGTTCATTCAGAAAACCATATCTTGGCCACAGCCTTGTGACCCGAGATGACTTAAGCTCCCCTAATTCAAAATATATATGCTCCTGGTGGATAGATTATACATTCCGATTCCAGACTTCTAATAATGAAAATGAGACTGCTAAAAAAGAGAGCACAAGAAAAAGTCAGTATGCTCCTACCTATCTTCCTTCATTTTTTGAGGAAACTGAATGAGTCCTGGTCTTTTAAGATTTTATTTATTTATTTGAGAGAGAGACAGAGAGAATGAGAGCGAGCAAGCATGAGAAGGGGAAGGTCCAAGGGAGAAGCAGACCCCCCTGCTGAGCAGAGAGCCTGGTGTGGGACTCGATCTCGGGACTCCAGGATCATGACCTGCCTTTGAAAGCTGTTTATAGACCTCCTTACTGCTACAGGGCTAGAGCCAGTGAGCAAATAGTGCCCTCCTCTCCCTGCGTGACACTGATAGTTCTCAAGGACTTGGAAAGGAGTATTTCTTCATTGTGAGGCATCCCAAAACCATCTGGATGGAAGTGTAAATGTTGGCCATGGGGTTGGGACTGTGGCTCTGGGTATCTGCGTGTGGCCATTGGGACTGTGGCTCTGGGTGTCTGCGTGTGGCCATCGGGACTGTGGCTCTGGGTATCTGCATGTGGCCTTGCACCAGGAGCACAGATGAAACCCAGTTGTGGGAGGAATGTCTGTCAGTATGTTTGCTCTAAGAAGGCAGAAAGCTGATGTGGCTGGTGGGAGGGCCTTGCCGGAAGAGGATATCTCTTCCACCCAGGTCATATTTAAACCCTTGAAAGTAGGTACAAATTTAGTCTCTTTTTAAGGATTACCCAGAGAAGAGGGTTCTACTGTCTCTCTTGGTAATTTATCCTTTTAAGTCTATACAAGAAGTCAGTGTTGTGTCTTGTCTCCAAGCATTGTTCAGTTGCTCTAGTTTATTGCCTTGTTGGACACTTAGGAAAAATCCTTTTGAAGTGATGAAAACGAATTTTCTCTTGATGTAGAAGAGAGTTAATTCTAAAGAAAACCTTGAATCAAAAGTTCATTTACAAGTTGACTGTGGATTTTGAACACCAGGCCCCTGAAGAATGACAGGGCCAATAGGAAGACAGCCAGGCTCAGAAGCCTACTTGATTCCAGGTATATCTGAGCCTAAAAAAATCCCATTATCCCTTTAAATAAGCTCCTAGAGGAAAATGTCTGCTTTGTTAAAACAAACAAACAAAGCACAAAACAAAACAAAACAAAGATCCAAAAAAACCAAAAACAACAACAACAAAAATACAAACAGAAAGCTGGCAGAATAGCCTTTGAGAAAATTTAACCAGTGTCTTCTAGGACACACTAGATTTTGTGCTTAGTTATATATATATATATATATATATATATATATACGTATATATATATGTATATATATGTATATATATACGTATATATATATATATTTTTTTTTAAAGATTTTATTTATTTATTTGACAGACAGAGATCACAAGTAGGCAGAGAGGCAGGGAGAGAGAGAGAGGAAGAAGCAGGCTCCCCACTGAGCAGAGAGCCCAATGCGGAGGTAGATCCCAGGACCCTGAGATCATGACCCGAGCCAAAAGCAGAGGCTTTAACCTACTGAGCCACTCACTCAGGCGTCCTACTTTTTTTTCTTTAAGTGACTTGTATCTGCATCGTCACTTTGGGTCTGGGTCCCCTCGAAACCCACCTTATAAGCTTCACCTTTGCCTGAGTCAGCCCAGCAGCTATAACCTGACCAGTAGGGCTGTGACTAGGAGGGGACCAGAGAAGAAGACGCCAGTGGTTTTTGCACTCAGAGGGGTGAACTCTGTCTTTGGTGCTCCTTCTTTTTCTTGCCAGTTATGATGTACAGACTAGAAGCTATTGGATTGAGACTTCCTGCAGGATCTACTCTACAACACCCATGAGAGATGGTCCCCAGACTCATTTGAACATTGGAGGTTAGACTCTCAAGGGTCTCTGCCAGCCCTAAGACAACATATGTTGTGCGCAGGAACCTGATTGGCTCCACTGTCTTCGGGATGCCTATGGTCTAGTTGGAGAAGGGAGTGTTGTATGAGAGTAACGAGAGCATGTCCTATGGTACTAGATAGGGCAGACACGAGGGAAGCCTTAGATGGGCCACTTAAATCAGTCTTCAGGAGTCAGGAACATCTTCAGCCTCAATTTAAAGATGTTTGTCTCAAGTGTTAGTAAGGAGTGACACTGATTTCCAGAGATTTTTCTGGGACCTTCTTAGAGACTGCCCTATCACCCCCTACAAGATCCCATCTAAATCAAATTTCCCTAAGTTCTTAACACCAAGAAATGTTACCCAGAGTGGAAAAAAGTCATCTCTATTGTTAAAAACCAATACATAAGGTCGATTATGAAAGTAAAGAATTCCAATGTTATCACTAAAGGTACTCACAGAGAGAAACACAGACGACCACTCGTTAGTTCTCTCCCTAGAAGAGGAAAAATGGAATGTGTAAGAGCCATCAGATTGCTGTCCAGGGAGATAAAGAAGAGCAAACATAGACCAAGACACACAGATATCAGATTTTTCCCTCTTAAATGAACAAGTCGATTTACTCCTGTTCTTTTTGGGTATTTTCCCCTTTAAGCCTACTCTCCGTGACGGCACTCAATGTTCGACTTTGGCGGATGTTGGGGCAGTTTGGCCACAGAAGGCAGTAATTCCTAAATCTGGTGGTATAGTGGACTAACCTAGGGAGATTGTTAAAAATTCAGATTCCTGGGGCGCCTGGGTGGCTCAGTGGGTTAAGCTTCTCCCTTCAGCCCAGGTCATGATCTCAGGGTCCTGGGATGGAGCCCCACATCGAGCTCTCTGCTCATCAGGGAGCCTGCTTCCCCTCTCTCTCTGCCTGCTGCTCTGCCTACTTGTGATCTCTCTCCCTCTGTCAAATAAATAAATAAAATCTTTAATTAAAAAAATTCAGATTGCTAGGCTCTACACTGAGATTTTTATTCAAGAGATCACAGTGGGAGCTA